CTGGGGCTAACAGTATTGAAAAAATAGTTTAACATGATTTTTACAGCGATCGCAATACAAATCTCGGCTCAGTTTTGCGTATAGGCCTCAGGATTTGGTGCGATCACGTGTCTAGTGGTCAAAATTGTGCAACGTGGCGGCGGCCATGTGGGGGTCACTTTTGCGCAGTGAACGGGATACCAGTTTATCGCTCTAAGCCCCTCTACCTCGTTGTTTGAACCGCTAAATTGAGAATATATTTTCCGCGTTGTTTTAGCAATAGACACTATTTCTGTCGTGAAACGAGTGAATATATCGTTGTTGTTTTTTTTTCGTTCGTACAGTCCACTTTTATTTTCATGTTCCAAATATAAGAAATTGTGTTATTTAATTCTGGCGCAAGAGTAAAACAAAATCTTGATCAACATACTGAACGCCGTGTTTATACGACTCAACATCATTTGTTTACCTCAGTCGCTTATAGTTTACCTGAATCGAAAGGTTGTTATGAAGTCTGGTAGGTCGACTAAAATACCCGTGATTGGTACAATTTTACATCGGTATATTAAAAGCTGAATTGTAGTTGTGCTTTTAAACTAAGGAATTGATTGCAGTGCATAAAATTACAAAATGTGTACATTGTCGCCATATATATCATGAAATACAGCTTGCAATTTACGTTTATTTTCAATATACAGGGTGCGTCCGTAAGGACCAACACATTTGTCACGCCTTGCAATATTCGAATTTTAAATGTACATACCTGAACTTCGGCACGCGAACAAAGTCTCGCAAGAAGTTTTATGTAACTTTTTATTTTAGAGCTCAACTCTGAGGTACTGATGTATTAAATAATAAAGCAAAATCGAAGGCCGTGTTTTTTTTCAATGTCCTATACCAGCCTGTTTGTCGTCTGCACGCTGGTTTCTGAGCTCGCTCTCGGGTGGCTTGATGAACGCAAAATCGGTAAAAACCAATGGCAGAGGCTGGCGATATGAGCGAGGTAATCGCGATAATTACAACTTTTTAACGAAATATATCAACGATGACCGCCTGGAAACAAGCTTGCAAACCAGTGTGAAGACCACGAATATCCGGTGTAGGGCATAGAAAATGTACGACCGGGGTTGTTGCTGTATATTTATCAAATATACATCACAACGGCGGCCATCAAAGATGGTAAAATATTAAATTTAAAATTTAATATTTTACCATCTCTGATTTGAGCTCAGAAGAAAAACACAATGCCATGAAACTTTTTGCGAAACTACTTTCCCGTACCCAGTTTCATGTATGCACGTTTTGAATTCTAATTTCACAAGGCGTGCCAAATGTGTAAGTCCGGACGACGCAACTGAGCTAAAAGCATAAATATTTTCAAAATGTCACGAAAGTGTTAGGACACGCCCTTTCCGTCTATCTTTTATAGAAACCGCGGGCAGCAATCACAACGCTTTTTGTTTTACTGCGGAGCTGTTAAAGAGTAACTGCAAAGAAAAAAAAGTTTTTTTTTTTTTTTAACAGCCTAATTGGGACAAGCATGTCATAAAACAAATGTTCCGCGAAAAAAATGATTTTTTTATCAATATTTACGCCACAGGACGTAATTTAGTAGAGTCAGAACCTCCCCACATTTGAAACTCCCGCTCTTTCGACCCCCGCGGAAGAGGACTACGCCCCGCCCCTCACTCTCCTTGCGTTGCGGAGTTGAACGACGCAGCGTCTCGACTTCCGGCATGATCTGGCAACTACGCCAGGCCTCGGTATTGTTTTGGTTTGACGCGGTTTGCGAGCACATGTAGCGAAGACGTGACCGGAGACGTGCCCCTGTGATGTTCCCGGAAGACGGAAAGTATCGTTCGTAATCGTCGTGCGTGCTTTGAAAGCGAAGGGAGTCACAGTATCCACGAGTGCGCAACCACAAACCAAGGTTCATGACAGCGCTGCGTTGGTTTCGGCGATCTCGTTCTGTTTGGTGCAACACGGCGATGCGACAGAGCTGAAACGTTCGTGGTGTGTGTAATGCGGTGCTATGTGTGTTATGCGGGGTTGACGTACAACGGGTACAGTCCCGTCGTCGTCAGCTGATCCAGTAAAACTGGCCCGGGAGGACGCAGCGAGCGTTTTTAAAAGTAAATCTTCCTTCGTTCTGTTTCAAAATGTGGAAGATTCCGGACGCATACCGTGAGTAAAAAGCTGCGGGCGTTTTCAAATAAATTACGTCCTTTTAATTGAACAATGGACTCCGAATTGTTCTCCTAAATCTGCCGTTTTTATGCTTCGTGTTGTTGGACTGCGTTTGCACAGCGACGTGTTGCGCTCGTCGTGCGGTGTGAATAAATTTGGGCGAGATTTCGTACCTGTCTACAGATGCATGAACTGAGACCACTTTTTACGTAGTGAACATGGTGCTTTTTTTTATTTTGTGTGTCTAGTTGTGGACTTTAGGTGCGCCCGGTGCGAATCTCGATGGCCTCCGGAGCGATATGACGAGAACGTAACTGGACACGTTTGTCGCTACGCGAACGCCCGATTGCCTCCAGCCAAATAGCATTCCTTTCGGGGCGACATGGCTGCTGGAAGGCTCACTGTCGGGATCACGCATCTGACATCTCTGAAAAGTCAGCATTTGCACGCGCAAACAAGCAAAACAAACACACAAAAAAAAGCACGCTAAGCAAGCAAAGAGGAAAAAACCGCGCTATGAAAGCCAAAACCCCGCGTCGCTTCCTATCACTAACACCTGCGACAGCTGCTAAACACACACTACTTCACTTCAAGAAGTCTCACTCAAGCACCTGGATCAGCACGAAACACTGATCACTTCGCCGAAACGATTAGTTGAGGTAGGTGAGACAGGCGGGAGCAGAGACTTCGGCGGCCATGAAAGAATGGCGAAGCTTTTGTTTGTTATGGTATGAATCCAAACGGAAGTGCCCGTCTTGTAAACCTTTTGTAAAGAATAATAACCCTCATCACATGGGTTATTTTTTAAACGAAAAAATATGCCGCTCAAAAGGAAATTGTAACAAATAACAAAGGTTTAACAACCAAGATCAAAGCTGTCAATCAAACTCTTAGCCAATGAGAGCCGATTGGGATTAACGTCACGGAATCCCAACTTCGTGGCGCGCGATTTAAAACGGGCGAAATAACCGCAAACTAAAATCAGTCTCACGCAATAAATATTGCTGTAAAAATTTTTTTTTTTTTCTCGCGGAAAAATTGTTTTTTGACATGCTTGTCCCAATTAGGCTTTTTTAAAAAAAATATTTTTTTTCTTTGCAGTTACCCTTTTAGGGCTAGGTTCCCGAGGATCGTGTACGGTACCAAACAAATGTTGACACAAAACTGTGGACAGCTACCGCCATCTATGAGCCACGGCGGTAGCCAGACAACCGGCTTGCCGGCCTCGGTCATAGATGGCGGCAACCTTCCCAGCCTTTCCACTCTGGTTTTCACCAGAGTGGAAAGGCTGAACTTCTCTAGGCGTCGTCCTAGATGTCGTCCTCGAGGTCGTACTAGAAGTCGTCCTTGAGGTCGCCCTAGACGTTGTCCTCGAGGTCGTCCTAGAAGTCCTAGAGGTTGTCCTGAAGGTCGTCAAGACGTCGTCCCTGAGGTCGTCCTAGGCGTCCTTGACATCGTCCTAGACGTCGTCCCTGGGTCGTCTTCGAGGTCGTCCTAGAAGTCGTCCTTGAGGTCGTCCTTGAGAGAGAGAGGGGGAGAGGGAGAGAGAGAGAGAGAGAAGGTTCCAGCAAAATGGAAGATTTCGGGGGGGGGGGGGGGGAGAGTTGGCGGGCCCCCCTCCCCCCCTGGCTGCGTGCCTGGTCTGAGGCCACCGGCATCTTTCTTTTCAGGTATCCCTCCCGTACACACTTGTATATGTGTGTACGGGAGGGTATATGTAACGTGGGATTAATCAGTCACATTTAGTGCTTTCAATGCATCTATTCTCGGGGACAGCACTCTGAGGCAGTTCAGCAACAAATAAAACACGTTTCCGTGCCTCAGTGATGTGTAGCATAGAATGGGTCGTGCAACGACCCATTTTATTTGTTATTATTGACTTGTTATTATTATTTGTTATTATTGTTTTGCTATTTTTGGTAAATACCGCTACGAACTAATCCCGACGTCGATTACTTCCACAAACATACGTTAGTTTTCTTCGCGGAAGGGCAGACTTCTAAAGAATAAAGGAAGGAAACAGCTTTCCCCTCCTCAACTCGCAATTCGAATAAGCGGACACGTGAACTGACACTAATTATACACTGTTAGTGTTCATCATTGTCATGCGCTGGGTTGGCAGAGAATAGAGCATGGGTTGAGCTTCAGACATTGGTAAAGCTCGGCTCTCCTTATCTTTAATTGAACACGAGCCATTATGCGAATGTTTGGCGATGCTGATCGTCATGAACCCGGGCACCTGACTTGGGCTCATGGCAGTGGAGTTCGTCAAGGTGCAACATGACTTGCGGTGCGAAGTCGTGATGTCATGCGACGTCACGTTGTCAACAACGTTGAATAAGTTACGCTCTAAATTTAAATCGGCTCGAAGTTGTGAGTCACGAGTGACGACGTGGCGTGACGTTGCTTGACTGCATTTCTTGACACCCGTCATGTGACCACGTCACAGAGTATTTTTCATAGTGCCAATAAAAGAGCACGGCGAGAACCCACAGTTTCTTACATATTGCAAATTTGCATTTAATGCTTTGATCAATTCATAGAAATACTTTCACGCTCAAATATTCATTTTCTGTTAAAAAAATAGCGTGAACCGTTTTGAACCGGTTATACCGTTATGTTTTTTTTTTCCGGTTCAGGTCCGGTTCAGTTCCAAGATGGCGGCGAAGATTTTAATTTGGTTCAGTTCCGGTTCGGCTAAAAATGACGATTCGGTTCGGGGTTTTCGGTTCGGTTCCACACTGCCGGTATTATGAGTGGTCGATAAATTATTATTATTATTATTATCGTTATTATTATTATTGTTGTTTCATCGGGGCTCCTTTTGGACGCAGCCACCTGCTGGTGAGCGGTGCCCCCTCGCTGAGCCCCGAGCTGTGGCGCGTGGCGACGTGGAGCGTGGCTCGCGCGAGTCGTGCCACGCTACGGTCGGCGCAGCAGCTCATGGTCTGCTTCCACGCGGACTCGGACAACTTCTACGGCGACGTGGGACAGGCCAAGGTGGCCGTGCGCAGGGACTGCGGCCCCCTGGAGGCGGACAGGCTCAGGCAGCTCTGCCGACAGGTGAGGACCGTTGACCGGGCCTGCGGGCCGCTCACTCTTCTCAAGTGAACGGCGGTGAAGGGAACGCTTCGCTGCGCCCATGGTGCGTGCAACAAACAAAGCGATTTCGATTCCTTTTTTTAAAGGGCTGTTTATAATTTAAAGTATACAATTCATTAGCGAGCGTCCACGCATTGATGTATTTCTTTCGCTTGGGAGTAGAAGCTCCGCCTCCAGCGCCACCTTTCTGTGGTCACTGGCAGTATGAGAGCGACCGGAAGGTCTTTCACTTGTCTCATATTCAGCACGAGCGTCCTACCTCCTATAAGACTTTACCGTCTCGTCGGGAGTTTCGAGCCTACGCGCGCACCAAGGCATCCAAAAAAGATGGCGTTCCGATCCCGTAGGTGACCATACGGCGCGCAAGCGAGGGAGAGGAGGAAGTGAGGCGCGGTGGGAGAGAGTACGAGAGTAATCACGTGTGCGACGAAGGCTCCTCCAACCCACAGCTGCTGCTTTTTGATTCGGAGCAGACGACGTCTCGACCGTGATTTCCCGATTCGTCGGAACACGTCCGGTAGTTATTAGTTGTCAAAAACAGCGTATACCGTCGGAGGTATTTCTCGCCCCCCGAGCCCTCATTCGTAAAGAACCCGCGGATTTCCGAAAGCCGCTGAAGGGATAAGACAGACATTGCTACGGCTATAAGGTGACGAAGGCATTCGGCTGCCAAACGCCAGACCCTGATGCTGCCGCTCCCTCTACACGAAGGGTAGACGACGGTCTTACTCGCTCCGATTGGATGGATAGATGCACATACTAGCTGCCTTTGTCTCTCCATCCACTGTCTCCAATCCTGGCGATCCCACCGTCCGCAGTGCCATCTTGACGGTCGGAGTAAACTTTTAATCGTGAAGACGACCCGATTTTTGAACGTGTATTGCAGTTTTCGGTAAAATGTGAATGTCGTGAGAACTCAAATGTATGAGATATACGCGCCTTTCCTGCGTCGACTCAGCTTCACGTGTTTCCATCAGGGGACGAACTTTAAAACTATAAATGTCCTTAATCCATACAGGGTGTCTTGCTAAGCTTTACACGTTTGTTAAAAAAAAAAAATTAAAAGCTTTGCAAATATTTGTAATGCGAAATTAGTGCGCAGCTCTTCAGGAGAAGGAGGTAAGGCTGTGGCCCTCCTCCGTGCCCTTTCCTCCTCCCCTCCTCCTCCGATTCAGTTTCCCCGGTAAATTTGGTGCGGAAAATGACGTCACATGACTCGGTGTCACGTCACCCATGAACAAATTCAGCTTACCCGCGTGATTTAGCGGGAAAATTTACGTTACGGGATCTCAGCACCAATTAGCGGGGTATTGAATTAGTGTTGAGGTCACGTGACGACAATATTCCCGCTAAATCTAGCGGAGAAACTGAATTTGTCCGCTGCGTCTAGCGGCGGAACTGAATTTCCCCGCTAGATTTAGTGCGGCTACGCCGACGCTGCGAAACCCGGAAACGTGCGCCTAAGAGCTGCGCTCTAAAACGGCGCAGCTTCAATGATGCGATCTTTGTAAATGAGTTAGACGGCCAGGGGGACAGAATATAGGGAACTAATCGTCGCGATAAGTTGAACAATGAAGTAAAAGTTTTTAATTAGCTTTTTGATGATTGAAGATAGGCATGAGGTTTCAGTTAGAAACTTGCTGAGCGTCATCGAAAACCGCGGAATCGGTGATTTTGAGAACGACTGAGCGGGTGGGAAGAGCAGCAACGGGGCAGTAGTGCAACATGCACGAGGCTGGCGGGGAGAAAACGCGAATGATAAGAGGCGGAAAAACCGCTCGGGTGCGTTATCGTGCCGGTAGTCTCGCGCGTGAGGCCTGAGTAGTAACTTGAGTAGTAACTTGAGTAGTAACTTGAGTGGTTCACCGTGCTTCCCACGTGCTCCAAGTATTTCGAAAATTGACTAGTTTTGCGTTTTTTGATGACACTCACCGGAGTCTCTAACTTGAAACGTACGTTTATTTTTATCAATTAAGAAGTTAAAGAACTAATTTACTCACTTGAATGGCTTATTGGAACGATTAGCCACCTATATTATGTCCCCCTGACCGTATTACACCCACCTGTACAGACGGCATTAGTGTATCTGTCACGACTTCGTAAACCAAAAAAAACGTATCTGTAAAGCCGAAAAAGAAAAAAAAAAACAAAAAACAAAAAAACAACACGATTATGGTACGTTATATGTATAATAACGTCATTTGAGTCGTCACAAATTTCTTTGAGTGCTTGGCAGCCTGTGTGCTTCAGTACGTTTCGATGCGGCCAATTCCGTCGATATGACTGCAGCGCAGTGCAGTACGATATGCCAGGTCGGTACAGTGTACGGCCGTAAAATCCCAGCTTAGTAATCTGCATTTCGTAGCAGCGATTGCGCGACCGGACCCCGGTATACGGTGCAGGTCGAAACTGACAAGGTCGGGGATCGAAGCGTGGGAAGATCTGGCTCCGCTAAAGTGTTTAGGCCTTACCACCCTGTTTATGGCCGATTCACACGACGGACTGATCCGCGGACGGATTGATCACGTGAAGACATATCCGCGGTTCGTCCGTCTCCCAAGCGCATCCACACGAGGGAGACGACGGGCAGACGCCAGCGAGGACGGATCGAACCTGGTCGCCACCCCACAGTGCCGCGAAACTCCAACATCGCGCCGTGGCACCGTTGTCCAGGGGGAGAAATCTACGTTTGCTACCACGATAAAGAATCGTACGCCGCTGTTACGTGCATACCGAGACAGAACACCGTGATAGGCTTCGCGCGAAGCGCCACTAGCTTTACTAACCCAAGGCGTGACAATGACACAGGCATGGTCCTGCTTGGCGTAGAAGCGACGAAGTTCTGGCCTCGCGGAGGGGCGTTTGGAGATGCCTTCACGCACTCCGGGCTCGTGCGCAACACTCGAGTACACCGCAGCCACAAGAAAGCTCTTGCTCGGTGAAAGGCTGATTGGACGCGCAAGAATTGTCGCGGCGTGCTATCGAAGTTATGACAGAAGCTTCTTGACACGCATTCGGAGGACTACCGGAACCTGCGTCGCGTCAGCCGGGCAAACTGTCTGCAGGGTCTTTCACGCGTGGAACCAAGGATCGCTAGACAAAATGCACCAGCGAACGCACAAAACACAACGATGCGCCAAATTTGTTCAAAGCGTAAAAAAAAAAAAAAAATACCGTTGCCAGCCTAAACGCTTTTCAAGTCAATCTCCCGCCAAAAATCCGCGAGTGAAAAGACGCTCGACTTTGTCAGTCCGCGCGTCCGGGGACGAGGTGCGGATAGGAGGAATCGGTGACTTGACGGTCACGTGGTACACGGTCCGCGGACGGAAAGTCTCGATTCGGTCCGTCGCGTGAATCGGCTGTTACCAACAAGCCCGCGTTTGCCCCCACACAAGGGCGTGGGTACCGCGCGTGCTCAGGAACCATATTCGCGTTGTTATGTCACCTATAAGGATGACTTATAGGTGACGTCAGAAACGAATCTGGTTTCTGCGCAAGGCCCACACCAGTTACGGGCAAACGCGGGCTCGTTTGGAAACAGTGGGTGTGTCGATAACAGAGCCTTAACTTCGCGCCGTATGAACATACACGGAAGGGAACTACTTTTATTGAAGCGTACATTAAGGTGTACAGCTAAATGTCGCTGGCGCGGGTGTACCTGCCGCGAGAGAGAGCTTTGGGGGCCGTGCGAGGAGAGGTTCCCGTCGGTGCCCAGGTGTTCCTGCTGGACGCGCAGCGTGCGGGCCCGACCAGCGGCAGGGTGCGCGACGTGCCGCCGGGCGTGGACGACCAGTGCTCCTTCATCTTCCTGCTGCACCCGCCCGATCGGCTGGGCGACGGGGCTTCGGCAGACCCGGACGCCTGCGTCATAAGGTGCGTCGACCGCTCGTCTGCTCTCTCGCATCCCCGGAGCAGACAGACATACGCGGAATACCGGGTGAAAAAAAAAAACAAAAAAACAACGAGGTGCCGCAGTAAAAAAGTGCTTGGCCGTTTTAGACTACTTTTTATTTATTGTTTTATTTCGTTTTAGTTGGTGGTTACAGCGAATTTCTCTCATGAAGCGATTGATGATTATGTTTCGTTATTGTGCGTCCCTATTCGGGAAGCCTGCATCTTCAAGTTCGTTTCGGATGACGTCGTTGCAGTTCTGAGCAGCTCAGTTAGCCGTTTGTCCGTCGGGGTCGCGAGCTCTCCTTTTTATTTTATAGCCTCCATTCTTGAGAAGAGTGCCTCACAGCAGAACGTTGAGCTAAATAAGAATATCGACAGAAATTAGTGGCCCGCCAGCTATGGTGGCACAAGACCGCCCAAACGCAAGCTTTTTTTTTTTTTTTATTCTATATTTTTTTTTTTGATTTTGCGGCCCATGGGGAGGACAAAAAGGAGGAGTAGGAGGAGGGGAAGGGGGGGGGGGGGGTATCATCGTCTCTGAACCAACCATAGAGAAGGCCCAGTATATGTGTTTTATCTTTGTGTTTTATCTAACGCGGATATGTCTGTACGACTTTTTTTTTCTCGCTTTCGCATAATATGCTTGCTGCCGAACATTCCTACGCTCTCACTTGTTTACTCTGTTTATTGTTAATTAAGTACATGCCTAGTTGGTAAGAGAAACTCTATATGGCTGTAAAACGAGGCTTTTCAATGTATAACACTTTTCAGCCAGATTGCTTTGCTTTAGGGCCCCAGACCCAGTCAAGTTACCATATGGTAGCTTTTTGTCTGGAGGCCCGGCAGAGTAAATTTCTGGAAATAAAGATTTAATTCATTTCATTTGATTTCACTTAAGCGTTTGACGCTGCTTCATTTGTCCCATATATCCCGCAGGTGTTCAGTGCACAGGCTCAAAACGCGAGTACGTGTTTATTTTTTAATTGCGTTTTTTTCTTCAATTGAGGTGTTACGCATGGGTGGTTGGATTGACGACTAGGGCAGATGTCTCCAAACTTATTGGCTACGGGGGTTAGCGACCTGTTGCAGTCTCGACTGCCAAAAAGAACAAGAATTATTATAAACAACGAAAAATCTAGGTAAAAAAAAAAGACAACCTAAATAAGCACTTAAGCCAATAAATAAATGTTTTAGTTAGTATATAAAAACGAAACAGAAAAAGCATGAAGTGGATGAATACATATACTTCAATTTGAAGTTTAATATTTAGCTAATTGTGACATTATACGACACTTGTGAGCAGGAGAGCTCCCCAGGCATAAATCAAAGCGCCTAGGAAGTTTTGGCACATCCGTGCAATGCAAGAGACTGATGAGAATGATAAAACTAATGCTGACAACGTGCAATAGTAGTGAGACAGGGGACACTAAAAGCAACATACATCGTAATTTTTACGTAGTTACACAGACACGAAGCGGGGGGACTAAGAATGGTAAGGATATTGATGACAATGTTTTAATTAATAACAGGCGAGAGGTTCCCGGTTACGTTGCCGTTTCTCTCGTTCTTTCGGGTAGTTTCGTTTCCGCGCCCGGAGCGCGTCGCTGCGGCGTTTTTTTTTACGCGCACCTCTTTCTGCCTCGCTAGCAGCGGGCCGAGCTCCATCGAAAAGAGTGCAGACCCACGAACCGGGGTTCGGAGACGCCTAAACTAGGGGAGCCTTTCGGATTTGTCGCTCTGTACGTCGTGTGGCGGGAAGCATCTCCGCAAAGGAAGCTCGGGATTGCCGATGAGTCCTTCGTCTCCTTCACTCCGGAAATCATCCCCTGCCTGGAGGATTACGAACGACGCTCCAAAGAAGCACTACGTATAAACTTATCGTCCCCAGGGTTTTTTTTTTTTTTTTTTTTTTAGCTTGACCAAAGGTTACGTGTCACTTACACGGGACACTTGCATTCGCATTCCTTTAGGTTGCCGCAAGGCGAAAAAGTAGTGATGCCGCACATCTCTTCTACCGAGCACGTCGGCCATTAAAGTCGACGTGCTGGCTATTAGTCTGCTTTTTTTTTTTTTGAGTATGAACTCCGCGACGTTCCTAACGGGCGGTTTCACGAAATGGCTTTTCACTTCCAGTAAGCCGCGTTGCGCCGAGTTGTTGAACATCGCCCGCCACTTTCCTCGCGAGTTTGCGTGCCTATGATTGGTTATTGGCGTCGTCTGTCGGTGTCGGTGAAACGTTGAGGTATAGCGAGTGGCTCCTTCGAGGACAGAACTCGGTAAGTGCGACCGGGGACGTAATTTGGGCCGCATAAAAGCCATGTTTACTCCGCTTTTTCGCTGTCCGAGTCACCTACTCGGGCCATCTCGGCCGCCGATCGGTGGACTTCTCGATTGCCTAACAAAAACCGTCTTCAAGCCCAACAAAGACCGGAATGCATTAAAAACCGAGTGCCAGACGATGCCGTTTTATGTTACCGACTTCCGTGGCTGCCGCAGTCGACCACGGTCCAAAAGAACTCGAGCGAGTTGAAAGACGCTGCTTCCGCGCATAGGACGACGCAGGGCGAAAATTACCGTGGCGCCCTGCGGGATTTCGAGTCAGACGTACGTCTCGTGAAAGCTCCTTATAACAGGGGCGCTGGGTGGCCATGTTGACTCGGAACTCGCGGCGGACTCCGTTCAAGTCACATTTTAGAGCATCTGTCTTTCGATCAGGAAGAGTGCTGCAAACTGACGACTCTTTCGTCGGTCGCGTTAACTCGTGAAAGGGTGAGAAACGGTAGACGGTCGGTAGACCTCTCGCACCGTTCCGAATCACCTTTGAGCTTGCGTTTTTTTTTTTTGTTTTTTTTTTTGTTTTTATATGTCTACGAGAAACGTGAGAACCGTGATCTCGAACGTTTCAAAATGGCGAACATTAGATTGGAGTTTCCACTTGAGCGGAAGACGTGAGTAGAAGCTCACACTTCTCCGTGAACTCCCCTCTCCGTGATAACTCAAGCTTCCTTTAAGAACACTGCTGTTGTATCTTCTTCTTCTCTTTATGGAGACATATCTTCCTGAAACCGGGGTGCGGATATGTTTTACTCTCTGGGTTTCCATTTTGCGTTTCTAGTGCTTGCTGTTTGGACTCTATTACCTCCGATAGGATTCCCGCGCATTTAAATAGAAGCCGGTGGGCTGCCATCACAGCGGTATCGAACTCAGCCCTTGACTCTGTTTTATTGAAGTGCCCTATTTACTGAGGTGGCTGCATTAAAACCCGTTTGGAAGTATCACTATTGAAAAAGCGTAACCTTAATATATTTTATATTAGATAGAGGCTTACCGTTGAAGTTACAAGTACCCGGTAGGTGGCGCGAGTCGCCGCCCGATTAAAGTGTTCAGTCGTTGGCATCCGTCCATCCACCCTTCCAGCCGTCTTGTCCTCTGCTTCCCGCGTCCTCCGAAACAAATGGTTTGAATAACCGTGCCGTTGTTATCGGCTTCTCTGGACACGGCTTTCCTGTCAGGGCGGGGCACCCCTTTCGCACACCGGACGGACATTGCGGCCAAAACAAAGAGCAGTTTCCCCACCTGGTTGTTTTTACTCCTTCTCTCCGAGTGATCATGGTGGCATTCCCAACCCGCGAGGCGTCATTTACCTTTCTTTATTTTTTTTACGCTCCACACTGTTTGATCGGTCTTTAATGCGAGTTTAACGACGCGTTACCGGATAACAAAGAACTACATTAAAGTTTCATAAATAAAATCGCCAGTTTCGAGCGATGCGAAAGAAACAGAGGCTGGTCTTTCAGCGTTTGCCGTGTCCCGAAGGGCATTATATTATACGTTGTTAGTTTGACTTTTTTTTTTTAAACTTAACAGGCTACGTTAATCTCTGTTCCTTCTTTCCCGTTTTGCCTCGATTTCGCGCAGTCATTTGTTTCTCTAACCCGCGCTTTCTGTTTTGCAACTTACGCGCTAATGGTAATTTGTCGGGGCCGCCACTTCGTTTTATTTTATTGGTTTTTTTTTTTTCGTGACGTTCTACCGTGCCCTTACGAGTCCCCAGACACAGGTTTGTGCTGTCGTGTAGGTATCGGGCCAGGTGGCTGTCGTACGCCGACACATCCTCCTCGCCCTCTTCCTTGTGATGCGGATAAGAACATGCTGCTCAAGCGCATCGCGGGCGTCCCTAAGTATGATCGGCTCATTGACTGCTTGTTAAACTCGCGTGATTAACTTTGCACGGGGAGTTTGGAGCGAGTTTGCTTTGTTGGTACATGGAACTCGCGATTTGTTTCGAACGTATCGGCTTTGGAGATTAAGTAATTAATGTGAGGTGGTCATATATTTTTCCCACATGCAATTTCGAATGTTTTGCTAATTTAATTACAGTAGTTTGTCACTACTGAGCTTCGCGGAGATAAATGCGAGTGGACTAGTTTTCGTGTTTGCTTTGACTTCTCTTAGTGCGGTGATCGTCGTACTACCTGTAGTGCTTATTTTAATATAAAACTTGAAATGTTTCGGAAACTTAAAGAAGCAATTTTTTACTATTGAGCAGTTTCGCGGAGACAGATACCAACGGGCTAGCTTCACGTTTATTTTCTTGTTTAGTTTTTTTTTTTCGCTCGTTTATCGCACCGTGGTGTCTTCAATACGGGCTGGATTTACGTCGCTTTTCTTTTTCTTTTTTTTTTCTTATTTACTGCGCAATGTTTGTAGGAATGCGGTGAGGCATGCTGGTCCTCTAAGCGCAGGATTATCGCTTCGGCGCCTTGGGATGAGAACAATAATCGTCCCGACATGAATGTGATCGTGACGAGAGGAGTTCCGAAATTTCTTACGGCTGTCTTTTCAGTTATCTATGGAGTGCTTTTCTTTCAGCAAGCGCCAGAGGGTGTCTTTAAGCGGATGTGCTCCTTGCACGTTGTTTCATGAATGTAGTACAAAGTGACCCCCTCCCTAATTCCCTCTGCCCCCCCCCCCCCCCC